GTAATGACTAATATCTTTCAATTGATCGTAAAATGATCTACTTGGAAGTTCAATTCCAGTGAAATAGAAAAGGACTAAATCTTGTTTAGTCACGTTTTCAAAGCTGTTAGCACTTAAATAAACATACACTTCGCCTAGTTCAATAACCACACCATCATTTCTACAAACTGACATTTGATTATCGGTTGTGAAATTGTCAACACTACATGTTGGTGAACTTGTTCATTAGTAGTTGGCACTCATTTCTGAATTTAACGTAAAAGGAAACGAGAGTAAATATTTTGATTTCAATTCGTAAGACAGTTCCGTGGGTGGTTTACTTCTGGGAACGGACATTAAGATCACTAGGTAGACTGTTTTCAATTACTTGTGCTGATAAAATGTTAGAATATGACACTGTACTATAGAGAAGGCGATTCATATTTAAGGAGAATTACACTATTCTGTTTGTGTTTAGGATAATGAATATTGTATACAAAATAAATACATAATAACAGTGAAATTTACTTTCAATGTCCCCACTGTTCCTGGACAAAATGCGTACTAGGCTATTTTGTTTGGAACTCATTTCAGTTGTCCTTAAATGAAGGTTACAATAATTGTGAATGTTTAGAAATTCATCAGTAACCTGGACAACGTTTGAAGATGTTTCAATCAAGTGATAATTGCTATATAGTATCCTGTTAAGGATGTTATAATTAAGATGACATTTCTTAGTAAACAGTATATGTCACATCTATTCCTAACAGCCATATGACTTTGATTTGAATTGATGGTTATTGGATAGTAAAGGGTTGTGAACAGATGTTTTATTCGTCCGAAAATCTTCACCACATATTATGTGCCCTGTCTTTCTGTTTTAATCAAACGTTTCTCATTCAACAGTTCTCTGTAACGAATGAAGGTTAGGGAGGTCAGTATCTCTTTGATCTTTAGACTATGCAAATAGAATCAAATAGACCATATTTCCTGCTTTAGTCAATTCGCGATATTGTGTGACTTGGTTATTTCTATGGTTATTTTCTATGGTGGTCCAGCTTCAACTGACTCATGATCTCAACTATTAAATTTACTATAATATCCACAAAAACCCCTTATGATATATTGATGAGGTTTATATCACGATTTCTAGAATTAACAGTCTTTATCAATTTGTAGCTACACATGATTGTATTCAATTATCAAGGACTTTTTAATCATTCCTCTTTGTTTCAATTTTTTTCTTATTTGTAATCTGTGGGAGATACTAATAACAAAAATAGTTACACTACATTGTTTAAATGGATGCATTTACATTTTCATTGAATTTGTTCACATTTATTCTCGTGTGGCATCTGTGTAAAGCTTGCTAACCTCATCACGAACATTACTTACTTACTTACTTATTTACTTACTTACTTACGCCTGTTACTCCCAATCGAGCATAGGCCGCCGACCAGCATTCTTCAACTCACTCTGTCCTTGGGCCTTCCTTTCTAGTTCTATCCAGTTTTTGTTCATTCTTCTCATGTCTGTCTCCATTTCTCGGCGTAATTCGTTCTTTGGTTTTCCAAAGAACACATTGATTGGTGATAACCAAATATTTTATATGATTAAATTTATCCAATTCATTGATCATTGGTAAAAACAATCCAACATAATTTACTAAAATACAATACACTTGACACAAACAAAACAACAGATTCGCGATTGATTGACTGATCAGTGGGTAGTGAACAATGTCATTTGTGTCAAGCTTTTCTTAGTATTAATTGAATTTCGTTGCTCACGTTCCAATGTGGCATCTAGTGAAAGTGAACTGACAATCTAAGGATTATGTTGAGATGTTAGGTGTTGGTTGAAGGTAGTCGACAAGAAATCCTGTACCAAGGTTTCATACTATTTGACACTAATCGGCAAGTAGTACCCATAACCTTGAAGGAACTGATTCTCGTTAAGTGATCTGATCATTTGTCACCCAACTTCACAGTGAGAGATCTTTCCATTGGGTTTCTAGCTAACAAGTGTGTAATATAACGAAACTTAGATCTATAGTATCCTATCGACGAACTTATTTCAAATATTCATGTCATGTATACAAATGTATGTCGTTATATATAATATGCACCATAGAATCGTTGGTCAGTTTTTGAAAATAATCACAACGACTGAGACTCGGAAACCGTTTATTGATTTATTTAACCTTAGTAGTTAGTACAAATATGTAAATGATCATAGATAAAGTATGTACGGTTTAGGTTTGAAATGGAGAGGGGGGGGGAGGTGAATATTTAAACTACATATCCACTTTGAAACACTGTTTACATTATAAATAAATGGTACGTTTTTATTGATTTTAATAAAATACAAAGTTCATTCGATACAGATTTAATTTTGTGCAATATGTAGCTTGTGTTTTCCTTATTTGTTGTTAAAAATAAGTTTTAATAGTTGAGATCATGAGTTAATTAAAGCTAGACTACCATGAAAAACGTGGACGCATTGGACAGCCATTTCGCCTTATTGTGAGATTCTTCAGCAGTTTATTCCATATATCTATTCTGTCTTCAGAATATGTACAATAATTGTAGTAATATAACTATAAGTGTGAAATCGTCGATTAATAAACCGTTTGATTAGTTTTCACCGGATGAAGAAATTCATTTGTAAATTATTATTATCACTATTATTATTACCATTATTATTAGAGACTGACCAGCAGTAGTCCTAACAAATCGATGGGAAGATTCAAACAAACAATACTAAATGAATTTAAACTTCACCCCGTTGCATAAGCAAGTGACTATCGGGACTCAGTTGTCGAGTGGATAACGTGATGGCGTTTGAAGCGAAAGGTAGTGGGTTCGAGTCTGAGAGTGAACATCAACGCTGAGATGCAGGTACATCGAGCTGACGAGTCCCAAATAGGACGAAACGTGCGTCCTGGATTCCACTGTTAGCCACTATCCATCTTTGCTCATGATGCTTGTGAATTAAGGCAATATAGAGGCAATGCGCACAGTATGCACATATGCCAATTATAGACTGACCAGTTGCAGTCCTAAGCATCAATGGGAAGATTCAAACAAACAATACTAAATGAATTTTTTATTATTATTGTTATGTCGTAGCGAAGACATAACTTCCGGGACCTATTAATGGACTATTATTCCATATATTTTCTTATTGTTTGACTATTGAGTAACTAGATTGTGTATATCTATATTCATCTTACTATAAGCTTCATTTCGACCTATAAATTATTACTGTACGATTTACTGTTCCTAAATTATATTCAGTTTATTGATTATTGTATCCCACGTTCACAGTCACTTTTTGACTTGATCTCGTACAAATATTATTTTCTATTTTATGGTGTGATGTGGTCTGTCTGGTATATAAACCGAGTATGCTTGAAATAAATGATTCGCATAGCAGAAACTGTTATTGGTATTCTGGATTCAACTGGAAGGCCTAGGGGGATAAAGGACCAATAAGGACACTAGACTGCTCATACCAATCGAACGTCATTGGTTAGACACAGTGTTAAGATGGGAGAAATCGTATTTTGATTGGTGGATAAATCACGCAATAAAAAGCCGGGTATAAAATAACAACAAATTGGAGACAGCCTTTTATTTTTTTTTAAATTCATAACTTTAAAGAGGTCGATATGCTTCACGAAGACGTAAATCATCCTTGAAAAACGCCTGACAATATGGGTTGATTTCTATATGATACAAAAGACCATGAGATGATGCAACCACATTTGAGGATAATGAATCTATATCTCAAAGAGAAAGAACTAAATTTTACCAGACTTATTCAATATATCAGGAAAAAATTTCACCGACAGACGAAGACACAGATGATACTATAAATAGACTAATTGGCTTAGAACTTGTACTATCAAAGTTAGAACAATTAAATACTGAATCAAAGTATTAGTAGTAGTAGTAGTAGTAGTAGTAGTATTAATAGTAGTATATTTAATTATTTTGATTACATTAAAATAGAATGTAGTATAGTCACGACTATCATCTTATTCATTATTACAATAAGATTGATTAATCGATATTTAATATTTAACAATCCATTAAAATCAATGATCAATAATAATCTTAAACTATATAATAATCAATAATAAAACAAAATAATCATTGAATATAGAACATAATTGATCCTGAATTGATTAAATTTGAAAAAAAACGAAAAAACTTGTAGCCATGGCAACAATGAGAGTTTCTTATTCAAAATTAAATAATGAATAAATATGATGATAATTTTCATTTAATAATTCATAATCTAAAATATAAGTTCCTATTTTACCTGGTTCAATGGTTACTATAACATTTTTTGACTTGAAATTACTTATTCTATTACATAATTGTCTACTTTGAATAGTCTGACTATCATTGACATGAATCTCAGTAGGCCATTTTAATCGACGTGTTAATGCTTCCGATTTTAATTCATCCCCTGTTAATGTCATTTCTTTCATTCCAATCACTTTGATACCTTTAATCAAATTGGTTAAATCTAAATTATGCGGTTTCCTTTCTAGGTCATTAGTAACTGTTTGTAAATTTTCTAAACGTATTAAAATTTGATTTGGTACTTTTGGATCAGGTAATGAAACTCGATTTAAAGGCCATGAAGTTAAACTTAATAAATGAATATGATCTGGTAATGCAATATTTATCCCTGTCCAACCATTCACTTGAATTGATTCTGGTTGATATTTAGCTTGGATAAATAATGGTATGATTGGTTTACTAATGATTTGAGAAGTTATTCTATCCTGTGATTCAATTATTTGTAATTCATCAAATCGGATTTTGTGTATTCCACGTACAATAAGACCTAGAAATTATATAAAGAAATGAGCGTAAAACGTTTTATCAATCAAATCATAAATACCGGCTCAGTGGTCTATCGGTTAAGTTCACTGGTGCGAGACTGGTAGGTCCTGGCTTCGAATCTCGTTAGGCAGGATCGTAGATGCGCACTGCTGAGGAGTCCCATAATAGGACGAAACGGCCGTCAAACAGTGCTTCCAGGTTTTCCATGGTGGTCTAGCTTCAATTGACTCATGATTTCAACTATGAAATAAATAAAAAGATTGTAATTATTCAAAGACTGGTTTGTGATCATGATATAAAAATCAAGTACTTAGACAACTTTGCTTCTTTATCGTTGAAAGCGTGAGTCCATTGAAGCTAAAACACTATGGAAAACCTGGAAGCACTGGACGGCCGTTTCGTCTTATTATTACTCACCAGTGACTGATGAAAACGATATCAAGAATAATAATGAAATATATAACATTTTAAATGTTAAGTCTAAAGATCATTTTGAGTGATAAGCAGTTAATAGTACATGATCAATAATTTAATGTGCATATAGTTTACGAAACCAATTAATCAAGCATCTTAGGTGTGAGATACAACTCATTCTTCCTTCTTTAACGCTTATGAAGCAAGAGAATACACACTATAAATGAACCATTGTGAATGATTCTGAGTTATTTCATCCATGGGTTATGAAAACAATGAGGACAGTAACATTGAAGCTTGAACCTACCTGCATAATATATGTCTCACCATCCAGTTGGTAAAGATTCATTACCTAATCGATCGATTTGCCGTCCTTTCCTAGTTGCCTGCGTCTAATCCGAACATTGTTTACTTGATGGTTCCCACATGCTAAAGCAATTTTCCTAAGTCATTTATGATCAGATGTTAGAAACCAACGAATATGGTATATTTTAAATGGTCATGTTTTGTAGTCATAATGTAGATTAGAGCAAATTGATGCTTATAATACTTGTCCTTTAGTAGGCAGACATATATCTCGGCTGAGCCACAAGTGATGAGGATTTTCTAAGGCTAACCGAGTTTTTTGAATTGGTGCTGAGAATTAGTTAGTCACTAAGTCACAATAGTTGATGAACTTACAGGTCTATGTGTCCCCTTTCTTTTATTTTTCGAAATACCTCAGTGACCGATCTAATGTCTTCGGTGAGTAATTACTTCACATTCAAAACGAATAGATGTCTTCCTTGAGAAATGCTGGATGTGAGCTGGTGTGTAGTCCCAAACTAGGACAATCCAAATGTTTCAGTGTTACTTCATTCTAATAGCTCTTCAGGTGATGTCAGTTCCAGATAGAAAATTATATCAAATCAAAGTATTTTATCCTTGCCAGTTTGGTTAGAAATTTTCTATTAATTTCATTGACCTAAGTAATTTAACTCATTTAGGCTACGATTTATGAAATAAGACGACTTTTTCAACAAACTTATACAAAGAGTTATTGACGCCATGACTATTCCTCATTAAGTCTCTAATCACAATTAGCTAACTAGAAACCATAATTCATTATCATAGTTTCATGTGTGAATAATCAGATATTATTATTGTCACATTAGATTATGGTTACCAGTGAAAGCCAGAACCTACGTTTTGTTCTATTCTGGATTCGTCATCAGAATGTCCCTGGATCACACAAATATATTATGAGTTACATTTATTGACAACCGTTTATAATCTCTGATTTGTGATCGTTGTAGATGTAAATGCATGTTAGCTTTATTCGAATCCCATGAGATCCTTTTAATATTGTGCATATACTTACTTAAATTATTCTAATGAGTATAAAATCTTGATGGAAGGTTAAGTATTAAATATTAATGACTTTAAGAGGTAAATCCTGGAGTTCTAGTGAGAAGCAGTGACTAGTGGAGCTCAAAAAAGGTCTGTTGTGAGATAGGACCTCACTGAAGACAATTGGTGAATGGTTGCTCAACTTCGTGGATTGGTTGAAGTTAGACACAAACACCATCGGATGTCGGCCGGCTTAGTGGTGTCAGAAGTTAGGCGTTTGCGCTACACTGATAGGTCCTGAGTTCGAGTTTAGCGAGGCGCGATCGTGGATGCGCACTGCTGAGGAATCTCACAATAGGACGAAACAGCCCGCAGTGCTTCCAGGTTTTCCTTGATAGTCTAGCTTCAATTGACTCACGCTTTCAACTATGAAAATACTAAATCTCCACCAAAACCCCTTCTGACATTTACAGTTAACAATGCATATATTTTAATGATATCATATCAATTTAGATTGTTTATTTTTCAAAATTTACATACCTCGATGATCCAATCCATTCTCCATTAATGCTTCACTTACACCAAAACCATCATCACGTACTAAACGTCGATGTAGCATTAATTCTATTTGTCCATCTTTTAAACTTGTACCACCTTGAGCACGATCTGTATAAATAGCTAATCCTATAGGAATTTCATTATTCTCTATTTGACTTTCATTTGGTTTAGAAAGTAAAATATTTTTTAACATAATTCGATTGATCACAGGATAATAGTTACCGGATACATTTTCTGTTTCATTAAAAGTTATAGGAAGATTCCAATCGATTCTTTTATTACGTATTCGTTTGATTAAACGTCTACCAGATGAATCAGTGAAAAATTCACCTAAAATTGAATAAAGAAAAAGATCAGTTTGTAAATTTTCTTTTCATTACTAAAACAAAAGTACTGACACTTTGAACATATAACATTCAATTGAGGGATAAGGAGTGGAAAAAAACATTCGACAGTAACTTACATCTGCTTACGCAAGTCACCATACTTTTACTTTACTTACACTTGTTACCCCTCATGGAGGAGAATAGGCCGCCTACCAGCATTCTCCAGCCGCCTGTAGCTTTTCTAGAGTTAGTGCCAATCTCAAGCCCGGGTAAAGGAGAAGGGTTGGGCATAGGGTTAGCGACCCTTCCTGTAGAAAAACTAACTCGCTAAAAAACGCTAACCAGGAAAAAAATAATTCAAGTCACCATAAGATGAACAAAATAATCAATCATTAAGGAAAACCAAATTCATATCGTACAATATCTTTATGAAGTAGCTAATAGTCTGGTACTATTTAGGAACTTGTATCTAAATAAGTTTTCTGAAGTTCCTATGGGGTTATTCAAGTTATAAATAAGATAATTACTCATCTATACTGTTAAAAAGATATCACAAACCGACAAAAAGTGAGAGCAAAATAAACTGATAATTTAATTGTATTATTCCAGTTTCTGATTAATATATTGTTGAGAGACTGACCAGTTGCAGTCCTAAGCATCAATGAAAAGATTCAAACAAACAATACTAAGTGAATTCAAACTACAGCCCATTGCACAAGCAAGTGGCTATCAGGAATCAGTAGCTGAGTGGGTAACGCGATGGTGTTTGAAGAGAAAGATACTGAGTTCGAGTCCCAGAGTGAACATCAACTCTGAGATGTAGGTACATCCAGTTGACCAGTCCCAAATAGGACGAAACGCGCGTCAAACTGGATTACACTGCTAGCCACTATCCATATTTGCTTACAGGATGAATGTTTCCAAGAGAAAATCATTTAATCTTTTTAGCTAAATACATGTCTGTGAATCAAGCAGTCTTTCCTATATCACCATATGGTAAAATCTCCTTCTATAGATGTATATAAATGAGGAATGGATCAACTTACTGTACCATACCACCAGAAATAATAGTGACTAATTCAATGTTATATTTTTATCAACTAAAGAAAAATAAGTGGAAAACTGAAAGAATGAAAGACTCAAATAGATCAACTAGCTAGTTCGATATTCCTTACTGTTTCATCTATGATGGAATCAAATGTCAAGAAATGAAGATTATGCATTGGATGTATGATATGCCTTCAAAAATCTCTTAGATGTGGACAAACTGTGAACTTCCATTGTATTGTTCCCCGACGTTTATCGAAAGATTCATCTCTTGATGTTTTATACAAGTCATTTGAAGAAATTTAGATAATTTGTGTGATATGCTTATCTGTTTTGAAGCCGTATGAACAAACAGTTAGTTAACGCCTTCAAATGCGAGAAAAAACTATCCCCAATATAAATCATTTTTCGTCTGGTTGTTAGAACTGAGCAATAATGCCAGGATGTCTAGGATGCGTTTCTCCCCATCTAAATTTAAATTGTTACTACAGGACTGGACTGCGTCAACACCTAAACTAAGGATAGGAAATGAAGTAGTCGAACACGTCAACAACTTCACTTATCTTGGAAGTCTGATCAGCCCGAATGGGTTGGTGTCTGACGAAATCTCAGCACAGATTCAAAAAGCTCGTTTGACTTTTGCCAACTTACCTCACCTATGGCGAAGACGAGATATCCGTCTATAAATTAAGGGACGAATATACTGCGCAGCAGTTCTCTCCGTTCTACGTTATGGCTGTGAAACATGGCCATTAAGAGTAGAAGATACTCGTAAGTTCCTAGTATTTGACCACAGATGCTTTAGAAATATTGCTCACATCTGCTGGGATCTCCGGGTAAGTAATAGTGAGGTTAGATGCAGGGCATTACGGAATGATGATAAATCAGTTGATGAAGTCATGATTCTTCATCGACCGAGATGTTTGGGCCATGTGTTACGTATGCATGAACACCGATTACCGTGACGCGCTATGCTGATTAGTGTAGGGGATGGTTGGAAGGAAGTTAGGTACGGCCAAACCAAAACATGGCATCCGTCCACAAAGTCACTAACTTCTGGTCTGAGTCATGTTGGCAGATGCAGACTACTTAGTTGGGGTTCGTGTGACAATCGTTACCAATGGTTGGAGACTGTGTGTGACATGACACAGAATAGATCACAATGGCTTAGGTGCATACCCTCTTTATCTTCCTTTAAGCATTGAGATTAAAATTACTTCATATCTGTCTTTCTTCCTGTACCATATCCTTATATGCGATCTTTCTTTTAAATAATATCACCACTAAATTGACTACTGCTATGAATCCGGTGTTCATCTTGTTATGCTTACGAGGTATGACAACTTGGACCAATGCATAAATGTGCCTGCTCCTACGTTTTAGCTAACTGACTGGTTGGTAAAACATGGAAATAAGTATGTTCCATTGTTTAAATACTAGTCATATCGTTCAGAAGAATACTTAGTAAAATGAATGGCATAGTTTAACAAAATACTTGGTCAAATTAAAAGTACCTGGATTTTTCACCAACATATTATCATTATTCAGTGTATATCGTATCACCAATTCACGACTGTTTATATGTCCATCATCCGGTATAGGACCAGCTGTCCATTCTACCTCTAATTCTCCATTATTATAAAGGCGTACAACTAAAGATGCCCATGATGAATAAGTGAGATGAAATTCTTTGACACATGGTCCATCTATGACCTTAAGAAATATTATACAGAGACATGAAATGAGAATTGAAAGTGTTAAATTTGTTATCGCTTTTCATCTTAGGATTTATTACAATTGACATACTAGATCTGTTATATCCAGAGTTTTGATTCTTACTATGCCGCGTACTACTAGACTACTTGAACGATCGAACCCGCAAAGTCGCAAAAGAGAAGACAGAAGACTAGTAAGTAGGAAATCTTATTCCCCAAACAATGTCAAAATGTAGTACAGTAATCTCATGTATTTATAGTTTTTGGATGAGAGTAAATCATCATTTCGAACAGTCAATAAGCACATAGGGGGTCATTTTTATCCATCCAACAGGGAAGCTACACGTCGACATTCTAGAATATTCCCCTAGCAGTGATTGGATGGAATGTCTTCGGCTCTTTCTGGGCTTCCTGAGTCTTCCTAGAGTTTGCCAACGAACCATCCTTACAAGATCTTATTACATACTGTGAATTTAAAATTCTGGATAACGTAAGCGGTGTCTTATTCTTCAGTAATCTAGTTTAATCAATCTCTTTCAAGAAAATTAATGATATATCAGTATCGATAAAGCACTTGATTAAACGTCCGAGATACTGTACGTCATTTAATAAACAGTCTTAGCTATTCTAGAATTGTCACTTCCCGGTTGCCCACACCGTGGAACGGTTCTTCTGGAGGTACCTGAAAAGGAAGTTGGGTTAGAAGTGATCTTAGTAACCTGAGAGCGTGACCGCAGTGCCCAAGGGACAACTGCTTGAGGTTGGTCACACAATATCTTTTTGTGGGTAGTTTTGTGTTAGCTCCGTTCTTCAAAGGACCTTACCGCCGGAGACGGATATCTGTGGGATAAGGCGAAGTGTGCATTTTTAGGGTCGACCTTTTCTAACCCCACCCCTCCTTGTGGGAAGGCGGCATCGCTGTTATGTTGGTTGTCTGAAGGAAACACCTTACTGCTTTCACACCTCTGTACAGTCGGCAATTCGACTTCGCCTTCAGACCTTGGGTTTTCTGCTTTTAGTCTTGCCGTTCTTCAACCGACCTGCCTGGCATGATAAGACCTTGAGGAACGATTGTTCTAGCCAGTATAGCTCGATTGATTCATCATGATAGGCAAGCCTGACCCTTTCAGTCTTTGAATATTGTTGTTTCATTTCACTGAAACAGTAGCAATCAAGAAGCTGAAAATGGATTCGTATGCAAAAATAGACAACTGTTACTTTATCATTGAATCGATAAATTCATATTTTGGATTAACACTAACTGTAATTATTGTAAGCAAAGATGGATAGCGGCTAGCAGTAGATTCCAGGACGAGCGTTTCGTCCTATTTGGGACTCATCAGCTGAATGTACCTGCATCTCAGAATTGATGTTCACTCTGGGACTGTAATTATTATCGTCTTTTTTTCTTTATTTTATTCTGCGATCTCGTAGAGTCAGGGACTAATGAAACCAACTTAAAGGGATAAGATTAAACAGTCATCACTGTTAATAATCGATTACACGCCAGAATTCACTGAGGTTGTAGATCTGAACCGTCGAATTTAACACGTTCATAGTGGAGTCTAAAGGTACCGAGGCTTGATGTTTGAAGATGTTTTGAGTATACAAGTATTCAATCTACCTAATATTTTGAATTCAGATTACGAATCAATTTTTAATCTATAAACATTGAAAATATGATAGATCTGAATAAATGAATCAAACTACTTACGTTTACCATAGGTCTTGGGAATTTCTGTATAAATGTACCATTTTTTGGTAAAAATATATATGCACCAGATGGTTGTGGATATGTAGTTTCACCTAAGTAATACAATAATTCAATTGATAGATTCATATATCCACCAGATTTTAAATGTCTCATTGTTATAATTAATGGATTGTTAGAATCTTCAATGAAATGAGCATTCAACTGAATGGTTTTAGACGATAACTGATCTATATCAACAGGGGAATGAACTGACGATACTGTTGGAATTGATGATGATGATGATGAAGATGACATAAAAGAAGTGTCTGTTTGTAATGATTCATAATGATTATATACATCTTGATTTTGATGAGTCGTTTTATTAAGAGCTAAATAGAATAAATTAAATCCAATGGGTGATAATAATTTGGCATTAAATACAATTTCATAATTTGCTAAATGTTTATCACTATGTCTTTCAGGTATATTGAATGTACGTTCAGTAATTGGTACTAGCTGATATTCTAAATTGTTGTTTAATAATGTGGATGAAGTCGATGATCTTGATGATGTCGATGACGATGATGATGAGAAGGAGGAGGAGGATGGTAACTGACGTAAATCTTTTAATATCACTTGTAAATCATTTGATGAATAATTTTCTGGAATGTAAATTGGTAAACGTATCCATGTATTTAATTGTTCCCAGCCTAAAGGATTATACAAGATTATGAATAGACCACCTTGATTTAAATGATTTAAATGTGGTCTTAATCCTTCTGTTGCATCACATAAGCTAATATTTAATAAATCACAAAAGATAACATTATTTTTCTCAATAAATGGTTTCAATGTTGGTAATAGTTTAATTAATGATTGACTAATTAATGATTGACATAATTTCGATGCTTTTGTTAATCTCCATGCATAATCATCAGCAACATGTTGTTTTTCAGTACCAGATACAGCATCATGATGTTGTAGTACACCGAGAGTTTTCCTTAATGTATCAATCAATTCGTCGGTGTCAACTTGTTTCTGATAATCGTTCATTTGTGATAAACGATCTACGTGTAAGTGTACCTGAATGATAGTAACAATGATAAAGGGTAGGAAAATCAAGTTAGTAGGTTAAATGGAATTGTAAAATATTAAAAAAAACTATCGAGCAAGCTTTTAATGAAAAACGAGGTTTGAAGGATAAAGAAAGATTTTTGTCAGTGTCAAAACATTCACTGATCTAAAAAGATGAATTTCAGAGGTCTTGACGTCTACATAGATTGAGAAACAAAAAGTATGATACTTATGAACGTCATATGTGGATAGTTTCGAAGTGTGTTGAGGAACACACAAATCATTATTCATCGCCATATAAGAAACAATAGATGATTCTTTTTGAATCCTGAGAACAAAAGATATTTTTGGTGAGTAAAAAGTATTCCATGAACGAGTTGAAATACTGGCATGTGTAATGCACGTGTAATAGGGTTGACAAAGGAGGTCTACTGTACAAGTGATATCAGCATTTCAGTACTTTTATGTGTGTATACAAATTGGGGTAGATAACTTAATCGAATACCTTCTTACCAAACTTTTTCGTTTCCCGTTCTCCTCGTTCTTTTTTAATGTTCGTCTGACTGTAAAACGTCGGATCTACAGAATATCGGTGAGAGCAGTTTTGCTCTATGCTTGTGAAACCTGACCTCTCCGAGTTGAGGGTGTTAGACGACTCTGTGCGTTTATTGTATTCACACGATCTTTTGCATTTTCATTTTTGCTATATTACTAATATACTGATTGTAATTGGACACTACTCCAAATCATTCTGACCTTTAAATTCATTTAGTATTGTTTGTTTGAATCTTCCCATTGATGCTTAGGACTGCAACTGGTCAGTCTATAATTGGCATATGTGCATACTGTGCGCATTTCCTCTATATTGCCTTAATTCACAAGCATCATGAGCAAAGATGGATAGTGGCTAACAGTAGAATCCAGGACGCACGTTTCGTCCTATTTGGGACTCGTCAGCTCGATGTACCTGCATCTCAGAATTGATGTTCACTTTGGGACTCGAACCCAGTACCCTCGCTTCAAACGCCATCGCATTATCCACTCGGCCACTTAGTCCTGAAAGCCACTTGCTTGTGTAATGGGCTGTAGTTCGAATTCACTTAGTATTGTTTGTTTGAATCTTCCCATTGATGTGTTAGGACTGCAACTGGTCAGTCTCTAATTGGCATATGTGCATACTGTGCGTATTCTGACCTTTATTAAATGACCTTTCTAATTTACAAATAACACAATTTTAAAGTATATATGTCTTATCAGATGAAAACATTCATCATTTTTAGCATATAACATTGTCAAATTCATTATTACATATCTTATTTTGACCTTTGTAAAATATCACAATAATAATGGACTTATAATTATAGAGTCTGATGATGATGTTATTGAAAATATCAGAAGGGGTTTTGTGGATATTATAATAATTTCAATAGTTGTGATTATAAACCAATTGAAGCTAGACCACCATGGAAAATCTGGAAGCACTGGACGGCCGTTTCGTCCTATTGTGAGACTCCTCAGCAGTGTGAGAGGCGGGATCGTGGATGGTCACTGTTGAGAAGTCCCACAATAAGACGAAACGGCCGTCCAGTGCTTCCAGATTTTCCATGGTGGTCTAGCTTCAACTGGCTCGTGATCTCAACTATTGAGATTATTGAAAACAATTGTTCGGTCAAATATTCTCTGTTTTTAAAACATTTCAGTTCTATCATAAAGTGAGATATGTGTTTGAACAAAATAGTGAACAGTGCACAATAAGATACTTTGATGAATATGACACTGTTTACTGAAAAATTGTAAGCACTAGAAAGTGGTAATGTTGGATATTTTAAGTGTTTCAAGTGTTTCCATTCAAATCGATGTATTCACATCGAAAGTGTGAATAAACTGTAGGGCCAGTGAAATGTCACTGGGCCTTAGACAAATCATCTGGCAGTTGAGTCAATCAATATCGAATAGATCATCAATCCCCATCAAGGTCAAAGACAACCAACGCTCATCAGTTAATCGTATACCATGAACTGGCTTATGAAGTGGTGGTTTCACTATCTTCTCTGTAATCATTCTTACTAATATATTTCCGTAATAACGTCTTTTGTGTTATACGTTCTTCAAAGCAGTAATAGTACTTTGATATGTCGAAGGTGTAATCCACATTAGATACTGACCATGAGATGTAATTTCGAAGTTAACTTTCAATTCACACCATTCACGTTAAACTCGAGTAAGCCCCTAATCATTCGACAGAGATCATCAATCTTGATAATCTTCAAAACTTACTTTACTCGAATAATGATACCTGACTTGAATAAATTTCACATGTATAAAACATGTCTAAATTTTTACTAGCCTACTTATTTACACTCATTTGATTAATTATAATCATTAACGTGATAAATTTAGAGTATTAGTACATGATGTATAATGTCAGTTTAGGTCTTATCTAATTTTTTTTTCCTAGTTTAGAAATGTTATTTTAGATCCATCAACTTTATCTTATTTTGAAATCTTGATATAATCTCAAATGTAGACTGTCTATGACTAATGGGAATTTTTATACTCTGTCAATTTTGATGTGTTCATAATTTTTTTTCAAAGTGATCCTTAATTATAAGTTGAATAAACTGTAAACCAAACTAGCTAATAACTTATCAAAACTTATTGGAATAGAATAAAGAAAAAAAAACGATTCTATAAAGAACATTTCTGTTATATCTCGGTGAAGAAATAAGTACAGGTAACTCCAAGGACCTATTAATGAATGATTATTCGATATATCTATTCTTATTGTTTAACTATTGAGTAATTAGATTGTGTATATCTATATTCATCTTATTATAAGCTTCATTTTGATCTATGGATTATTATTATTATACGATTTACTGTTCCTAAATTTTATAGTTAAGATCATCAGTCAATTGAAGCTAGACCACCGTGGAAAACCTGGAAGCACTGTACGACCGTTTCGTCCTATTATGGGACTCCTAAGCAGTGCGCATCCACAAATCCGCTCTCGCAGGATTCGAACCACAGGACCTACCAATCTCGAGCCAGAGCCCTTAACCGATAGACCACTGAGCTGGCATCCATCCTAAATTATATTCAGTTTATTGATTACTACCTCCCTTGTTCACAGCTACATTTGACTTGATCTTGTACAAATATTATTATCTATTTTATGATGTGATACGGTCTGTCTGATATATTAACCGAGTATGCTTGAAATAAATGATTCGTTTACTAGAAACTGTAATAGGTGTTCTGGACTCAATTGGAAGGGCTAGGAGGACAAGGGACCAACAAGGGCGTTAGACTACTCATACTGGTTGAACGTCATTGTTTTGGAAACGTCGTATTCCCACAGATGGATAAATCATGTGATAAAAAGCTGAACATAAAATCATAACGAATTGGCATACGGTGTTCTTTTTTAAAGGCATATTACTTTCTTCATCTATTTCGTTTAATTAAGCTGTACAATTGTATTAATAGCAAATTTACTTACTGAAAAACAGTAGTCTATAGGCAAATAGAAGGATGATGTGTAATTTCAAGAGATTAAAGTAATATCATGTCATGAATTGTTTACAAAATTTAGTCTTAAGGAATCAAAGCTTTAATGCATTTATACAGTCTAATTAAGACTTATAAAAAGTTCTATAGACAAGCCAAAGTTATAGTAACGAGTTTACCACTCTCCCCATTTCTTGTTGACTGTTTTATAGCCAGTCTTGAAAACATTATACTTAGACCAACAACTGACAGTCGGAAATATTTCCATCATTTGAAAATAAAGAAATAACAATTTCAATGACATCTTGAACTGGTTTCATCGGTTTCTATCAGTCGATTTAGTGCACAATCCAAACAGTTTCGAACTCAGAACTCTCATTGTTGAATATTTTTTTTAAAAAGCGTGGTGGTTCACTTTGTTCAATCACTTATTCCATCATGATGTTAAACTTTTTTCCTGTCTTCCATAATCAATTGTTTGCGAATTATTTTCTTAGTTGAAATCATGGGTCAATTGAAGCTAGACCACAATCGAAAACCTGGAAGCACTGGACGGCCGTTTCGTCCTATTATAGGACTGCTGAGGAGTCCCATAATAGGACGAAACGGTCATCCAGTGCTTCCAGGTTTTCGATGGTGGTCTAGCTTCAATTGATCTATGATTTCAACTATGAAAATACTAAATTCTCCACAACCCCCTCCCTGAGTTATTTTCTTCACAAACATTAATCAACCATTATTACAATATTCTTAATGTTCACCAAGTGAATAGGGATCACACCAATGTCTATTACCTACATTTTGATAGTTTCCATAAGTCATTGGATTATTAAACAACTTCGTTTCAATTGGTTACTGTAACTTATTCAGGAGAATATAGAACAATTTAATCTTTTGGAACTATACAACATCCTTTTGTTCTACAACATAAACTACTGATTTTATGAAGCAAGTTAACTATCAACACTACTGTGCAACGTGGGTAAATGAAAATAACAAGAGAGAAATTTTTTCACTGAATGGTCATTACATCACAAATTGCTTAGCAGTATACAGGCATGAAACCGTAACTCAAGTTTGAATTTATCAGTCATGTTTAATCTTAATCTACAAACAAACGATCAGTCAGTCAGCTAAAACGTAGGAGCAGGCACATTTATGCATTGGTCCAAGTTGCCATACCTCGTAAGCATAACAAGATGAACACCGGATTCATAACAGTAGTCAATTTAGTGGTAGTATTATTTAAAAGAAAAATCGCATATAAGGATATAGTACAGGAAGAAAGACAGATATGAAACAATTTTAATCTCAATGTTTAAGGGAAGATAAAGAGAGTATGCACCCACACCATTGTGATCTATTCTAAGCCATGTCACACACAGTCTCCAACCATTGGTAACGATAGTCACACGAACCCCAACTAAGTAATCTGCATCTGCCAACATGGCTCAGACCAGAAGTTAGTGACTTTGTGGACGGATGCCATGTTTTGGTTTGGCCACCTCTAACTTCCTTCCAACCATCCCCTACACTAATCAGCATAGCGCGTTACGGTAATCGGTGTTCATGCATACGTAACACATGGCCCAACCATCTCGGTCGATGAAGAATCATGACTTCATCAACTGATTTACCATCATTCCATAATACCCTGCATTTAACCTCACTATTACTTACCCGGAGATCCCAGCAGATGTGAGCAATATTTCTAAGGCATCTGTGGTCAAATACTAGTAACTTGCGTGTATCTTCTACTCTTAATGGCCATGTTTCACAGCCATAACGTAGAACAGAGCGAATTGCTGTGCAGTATACTCGTTTTTTAATCGATAGACAGATATGTCGTCTTCGCCATGTGTGACGTAAGTTGGCAAAAGTCAAACGAGCATTTTGAATCTGTGCTGAGATTTCGTCAGACACCAACCCATTCGGGCTGATCAGACTTCCAAGATAAGCGAAGTTGTTGACGTGTTCGACTACTTCACTTCCTATCCTTAATTTAAATGTTGACTCAGGCCAGTCTTAGAGTATGATGAAAATTATTCTACTTACTTGTTCACACATTGATAATAAATTTGATGCTTGACGTACATAGTATTTCAATGCTGGTCGACTAGTATAATAACCTGTCCAATATGAATGTAAATCACTAGCATATGGAAAGAAATCACCACCACGACGATCAATTGTACCAATTCGATTAAATTCTTCATTTACTGCTTTTGTATAACATGCTGGTGTAGAATAGAGTAGATTCACTTGACTATTATTTAATTTTTGACGTTGATTTACATAAGCAATTAACTTATCCATATTTTTATAATTCATATTAGCATTTTCATATGTAAAATCACAACCCATGAGAACCATAATGTGATTTGTTTTAAATGCTCTTGATATTAGATTTACATAATTTAAAAAGTCATCTACTCTTGATTTAACATTATAACCTTCCAAATTAGGATCATCTTTAATCGGTTCATCTAAACATTTATCATCAAAACAAAATGATTCTGGATAACAATAAGAATCATGAAACATGCTTGTAAATAAACCATAACCGGTCTCTTTCATTTCTATATTAGTATCCCATAAAACTTCTAATTGTTTTAATCGTTTACGTATTAATTTCTCACGAAAATCCATACGTTGAAAATAGACAGCATCAAAACCAGCATCTTGAAATAAATCTGAATGATCACGTGAATGTCCAAATGGATCAATTTGCCAAGCAACTAATGGACGTCCACAATCACCAAATAATTGTTTTAATACATCACGTCCACGTGTTAATTGATCAATTGCATCAGCATAATAAACTGTAGCTTCATCAGCCATACTCCAACCACCTAAAGCAAATTGTAATTGTCCTGATTCAACTAAATCTTTAACTATTTGACGTTTGGCTAATGTTTGTCCTGTCCACCATTTCATAAAAAATGTCATTTCAACATAGGTAAATCGACGTTTTGGATCATCAACTAAAGCTTGTATAACACTATCTAAAATGTATTGAACACCAGCACGTTGGATTGTATTATTAGCACCATAGTAGTATTGATCCACTGTTTTTAGCCAACCAACATCATCATGTGTATGTGGTACTAGATGGATATTTAGGTACCCCGGTTTTCCCAAATTACATGAATTATATCCACATTTTGGTCGATTAAAGTATTTGAAGACATTGCGGAAGCTGTATGCATCAGCATGAAGGGTAAATATTGATAAAGTAGTTAAAATGTCTATTAAGATTAGTAGTAAAAGAGATGATTTGAACGAATTATTCTTTAAATAGAACATCTTAGAAATGAATCTAATGGTTCATATTATGTCAATGGCTACTATTGAAATCGCTATATAGACTATGAAATTATATATGTGCGTCAGTCCCTATGTGCTTAGATATCTCATAACCAATACGATATTAATTAATACCAATATTCGTCAATCAGACCATGTATAACAATTATTTATTTATGTTTGTAAACATGTGCACATATATGTATAGGTATAAATAAGGCTCTGGATATCAACGGAACTAATTTCGTTGGTCAGAGTAAGTGGTAGTGACAGACATCATGGTCATCATAGTAATAGTAGTAGTAGTGTAGTGAAGAGAACACTGGTTAGGGACAATCGAATGTACTTAAGCAAAGATTACAGACTATCTCAATAAATTCTGATAACGAAACAATGAACAGTCAATTTGCAAATTAATAACCAATTGTTTCAATCTTCACTGTTTCTTCTCTAATTCCATTGATCATGCCTTTTCCAAACTATTGCGCTTCATTTCAGTTCTTTCTTCATCCGTCTTCTGCGAAAATACATTCTATATCTGACCCACACCATATACTACTTATATGGATATAAGTAGACCACACCACAATAGTAGTAATAGTAGTAGTAGTAGTAGTAGTAGTAGTAGTAGTAGTAGTAGTAGTAGTAGTAGTAGTAGTAACTATTAATATTACTATTGTGCTATTACTATTATTGTTCTATTGGTATCCATGACAATATTGTATGCCTATTCGTTTATACAAGTTTTGTATTCTAACGTATAAAAACTGACAGAATATGAATTAGATATATTCGAATTACCTTGGTCATGATAAACATTATACAATGATTCTTAATTGTTGTGTAATTCACTTTCCACTTTCAATATTGTAGACATGATAATAAACTATAAACATTTGTTAACATTTGTATCCAGTTTTTTTTTGGGGGGGGGAAGGGTTGAATAATTTCAGACTGTTGATATTTCAAATATTGTTTGATGGTGTATCAAATTCATAAATCATATGAATAATGAATGATCTGAATCAACCGCAAAGTGACATCTGTCTTCTAATTTTATCCATTTAGTTACAAGTTCAATGTTTGCTTTAACTACTTCAATTTATATAGCTAGATATTATCAGTGTCGCTTATACACATAATTTAACTCAAAACTTAGTAGTAAAATTTATAGATGATAACTTATGTAGTCACGCTATTATGTTTTTACTTAAAAGATTATTCTAAAATCTAACTGAATGAAATTTTAACGGTTGAGATCACGAATCTATTGAAGTTAGACCATCGAGGAAAATCTGGTTCTAAAGGTTAAGCGTTAGCGCGAGACTGATAGGTCCCGGGTTCAAATCTCGCGAAGCGGGATCATGGATACGCACTGCTGAGGAGTCCCACAATGGGATGAAACGGCTGTCCAGTGCTTCCAGATCTTTCATGGTGGTCTTGCTTCAATTGATTCATGATCTCAACTGTTAAAATTACTATAATATCCACAAAACCCCTTCTGATACTAATCAACATATACTCACGAGTGACTTGCTCCAAAAGGTATTTCCTGGAGTTCTAGTGAGAAGCGGTGACTAGTGGAGTTTAATCAGGTCTGTTGTGAGATATCAACTCACTGAAGACATTGGTGGATATGTCGCTCAATTTCTTTTATTGGTTGATGTTAGACATTAACACAATTGGATGCCGGCTCAGTGGTCTAGAGGTTAAGCGCTCACGCGCGAATCTGATAGGTCCTGGGTTCGAATCTCATGGAGTGGGATCGTGGATGCGCACTGCTGAGGAGTTCCACAATATGACGAAATAGTCATCGAGTGTTTCCAAACTTTCCATGGTGGTCTAGCTTCGATTGACTCACGATCTCAACTGTTAAAATTACTATAATATCCACGAAACTCCCGATATCAATGAGATTTGTCAATGAAGATTTGACGACAAAATACAGATACTGACAGTCTACTGAAAACTTTAAAAATAACAGAAATCAATTACGTTTGTAGAACATTGACCAGTATAAACTGAGATAAAAACCACTCAAACTAGCAAAGAGTGAAAAATTCAACATTCATTTATCATTTACTACTCATTTATTCTTATGGTAATATATAATTGAAATGAATCAAAATAAACCACCATAATTAAGAGATTCTTGAAGCTGTTTTGTAAAAGATTTCTTATCTTCGCCTAATCTGTCCTTTTTTAACTTTCATTTAGTGATTAGAAAGGTATTTTGGGTAAAATGGAAACGGAGATATTTGTAGACGCCAACCAGAAAATACTGATGTGCGATCATTTAATACAGTCTAGACACAAATAGTTTCGGACAATATATAAATTTAGTATTGTTGGTAATGGACGGGAAAATATTGACCTAGGTTTCGTTAAAAAGATGTTCATGCAATCTTGATGAGATTGTTACTTCACATGAAATTCGGATACTTGTCACAGTCCGAGAACGCATCGTGACTTATTTAAAACATTCGGTATCTAAAAAACACTACCTATTTTCAGATAGCTCATGACGAATCAAAACTATAAGCAGTTATTCACAATGATATCTAGGCAACGCTATAAAGTTTTCGTGCCGGTGGGTGTATTATCCATTTTGGAGGTTTTGTGTGTGAAAATCTCCTCATGCATACATTTGCAACTTGTTTTTATTACTTTCTTTAGTTGTACAATGTGTTAGTCTTCTTCATGTCATTTGAGATGGTAATATTTTATTTCATCATACTTTTCTCATTTTCTTCTTCGCCTTCACTGTGTTTCTGTGTTTCTTACTGAACTGTATTTATATTGTATTAGTTGATAAATATTCTTAGCGGCAGCTTTATTGATTGCTCCCTATAGTAACCATTCTACAATCAACTTCGATTAAAGTGAATTTTGGTTAAGCCCTTTTCATAACTTAATTAACAGACATCGTTATTTGGATAGCAACAATTTGCATATTCTTTGCACTGCTATACCACTAGAGCACATGACACTCTATCCGAAATGTTGACTGCTTAAATATCATTCGATGACTCATACTCCTCCCCATATATGTACGTACGCAAATATTATTATCAGCCTTTGTTTTGGTTTGCTGTGCCCTTATTAAATTTGACTATAAATTGCCTATGTAACTGCTTGCTATTCGCTCGCTTGCTCCTCGTTCGTTTCCTTCGCTTATTCGCCTGTTCACTCGCTCGCTTGCCGCTCACTCGCTCGCTTGCCGCTCACTCGCTCGTTCATATTCGCTCACGTGTTGTTAACTTTCTAACCTCAGTTATTCGACAATAAACTGTAGTTGCTGCTATCCTTCGTCTTCTGATTTTACGCACCGTTAAGATTAGAATTATAACGGTTATCGAAGTAAACGATCAACGAAACGCGGCACTACACCCCCTTTTATTGTGCTGCTTGAGTTGACTGGGATTGTCCATTTTGATTGTGAATTGAAGCACTTTCCCAGAATTGGAAACACTTTGGGTTATAAAGCAACAAAATATTATCCTTTGAAAGGATGTTTACGTGATCTATCCAGAAAGGGTAGAGTAACACTTACTTTTTGGTGCATTCGGTAATTTTCTTACATTCCTTATCAATTTGTCTATTTATTGTAATTTAGATCGATTATTGAGGGAACAAATTATTGGTTGAATAAGTTTCGATTATAGTCAATTTTGGTTAAGCCCTTTTCATAACTTAATTAACAGACATCGTTATTTGGATAGCAACAATTTGCATATTCTTTGCACTGCTATACCACTAGAGCACATGACACTCTATCCGAAATGTTGACTGCTTAAATATCATTCGATGACTCATACTCCTCCCCATATATGTACGTACGCAAATATTATTATCAGCCTTTGTTTTGGTTTGCTGTGCCCTTATTAAATTTGACTATAAATTGCCTATGTAACTGCTTGCTATTCGCTCGCTTGCTCCTCGTTCGTTTCCTTCGCTTATTCGCCTGTTCACTCGCTCGCTTGCCGCTCACTCGCTCGTTCATATTCGCTCACGTGTTGTTAACTTTCTAACCTCAGTTATTCGACAATAAACTGTAGTTGCTGCTATCCTTCGTCTTCTGATTTTACGCACCGTTAAGATTAGAATTATAACGGTTATCGAAGTAAACGATCAACGAAACGCGGCACTACACCCCCTTTTATTGTGCTGCTTGAGTTGACTGGGATTGTCCATTTTGATTGTGAATTGAAGCACTTTCCCAGAATTGGAAACACTTTGGGTTATAAAGCAACAAAATATTATCCTTTGAAAGGATGTTTACGTGATCTATCCAGAAAGGGTAGAGTAACACTTACTTTTTGATGCATTCGGTAATTTTCTTACATTCCTTATCAATTTGTCTATTTATTGTAATTTAGATCGATTATTGAGGGAACAAATTATTGGTTGAATAAGTTTCGATTATAGTCAATTTTGGTTAAGCCCTTTTCATAACTTAATTAACAGACATCGTTATTTGGATAGCAACAATTTGCATATTCTTTGCACTGCTATACCACTAGAGCACATGACACTCTATCCGAAATGTTGACTGCTTAAATATCATTCGATGACTCATACTCCTCCCCATATATGTACGTACGCAAATATTATTATCAGCCTTTGTTTTGGTTTGCTGTGCCCTTATTAAATTTGACTATAAATTGCCTATGTAACTGCTTGCTATTCGCTCGCTTGCTCCTCGTTCGTTTCCTTCGCTTATTCGCCTGTTCACTCGCTCGCTTGCCGCTCACTCGCTCGTTCATATTCGCTCACGTGTTGTTAACTTTCTAACCTCAGTTATTCGACAATAAACTGTAGTTGCTGCTATCCTTCGTCTTCTGATTTTACGCACCGTTAAGATTAGAATTATAACGGTTATCGAAGTAAACGATCAACGAAACGCGGCACTACACCCCCTTTTATTGTGCTGCTTGAGTTGACTGGGATTGTCCATTTTGATTGTGAATTGAAGCACTTTCCCAGAATTGGAAACACTTTGGGTTATAAAGCAACAAAATATTATCCTTTGAAAGGATGTT